TTTTTTTTTTTTTTTTTTTTTTTTTTTTTTTTTGCCATGGGACCAGCCAACCATTTTCTGAAATATGTGAAACTGTGAGCCAAATAAACTTTTCTTCCTTCAAACTGTGTATATCAGCTCTTTGTTGCAGCAACATAAAGGTGGCGAATGCAGTACTGTAGTAGAGGAATGTGCCAGTTTCATGGGGCAGAGATGATGACCAACCTCATAGATGAAGGAAATTTCAGGAGAATATTGAGGGATGAAGTTTGTGCCAGGAGGAGCAGTAGAGGGAAGAAAAGGGCATTCCAGGCAGAGGGGGACAGTTTTTGCATGAAAATCCATCATGCAGGTCCTGTGGGTAGGACAGTTGGTGAGATGCAATTGGCTGCAGCAGGATGGAGTGGGGAAAATGTAGGAGGTCCCTACCCAGGGCTTTGTTGGCCATGCGGAGAGCTTTGTTCTGTGAGCAATAGGAATCCATCAAAGGTTTCTGTGAAGACAGATGAGTGATAGACCAGGAAGACAAATCTTATAGCATTAGGACAGGGAACGGTTGGAGAAGAGAGAGGATAAAAGAAGGTGAGTCAACTGGGAGACTATCTCAAGGATTCAGGCAGTAGTGCAACATGCTCTGAACCAGGATCACGGTAGTGAGGGCTGAGAGGAGGGAATGACTTTGGGGACATTTCCATACACAGAAATTACAGGGCTGGTGTTGTGGTTTGTATCTAGATATGCCCCCCCTAACCACTTGTGCTCATAGATTGCTCTTTTGGGAGGTGAATGGATCATAGGGGCATGATACTCATCAGGGGAGTAGTCTTCTGATTAGTTTATCTCTAAATGTGATGTTGGGAGGTGAAGCCTGACTGTGAACTGAAACTTCTACAAATTGTGAGCCAAAATAAACCTTTCATCCTTTAACTTGTAGGTTTCAGGTATTGTGTCTCAGCAACAAGAAAGTAAGACAGATAATGTAACCATGGGTCCAGGAGATGGAAATGATGGCAATGACCCTGATGTTTCAGCTTGGGTCTGTGGTGATACTGTTAATGGAGGTCGGCTTGCTGGAGGCAGGTGATAAATTCAGTTTGGACTATGTCAGTATGGGGTGCCAATGGGACTTCCAAGTAGACATGTCCAGCACGAAACTGGGAATCTTGGCTCAGATCCCAGACAAGACACAGGAGCTGAGAAGCCAGTAAGGCCTAAGTGGTATGAGGTGAATTCATGTGACTGGATAGGATTTCTCTTCTCTCATTTGACTTCTCTGGGGCAAGGAGCTGGAGGCAGAGCCAAGTGATCCTCAGCATTTAAGAAAAAAGGTAGTGGAGACATTGTTTCCAGAGTGAGAAGATACTGTTCTTCTGGCCTTTTCCAGAAATCTCTACCCTTTCCCCTTAGGGTCACTGTCCTCCTTCTGGAGCTGAGTGCTTGCCTGTGAAAGAAGGAAGGATGGCAGGAAGGAGCAAAGCATGAAGGAAGGTAGAAAGAAAATGAAGAAATGGAAATAGGGTTGGAGGAAGTAAGGAAGGAATTAAAGGAAGGAAGGAAGGAAAGAGAGGGAGCTAAGTAACTCAGTATGCAAAACTCATGTCCACACAGGCCACGTTAGCCTTAGTGATGAATACCCTACCAAAGAACCAAGTAGTACCATCTTGGGAATAATCTAGTGCTTAGGTTTCTGGCATCTGGAGTCAGACAAACTTGTGTTAAGAACAAGCTCTGCCATTTTCTAGCTTTGTAACCTATGGCAAGCCACTCAGTCTCTCTGAGTCTTAGTTTCCTCATGTAGGAAATGGCGACTATAGATGTACTACTGTACTTCCCTCACAGGGTTAATGTGTGCACTAGTGGCCTTGACTATAACAAGACCCCGGGAATGTTGGCTGTTGTAATAATAGATATCATCAGCCTGCTCACTGAGATATAGTGGACAAAGAAAGGGCCGGGGGCTAACTACTAAACAAGTAAAACTGCTTCATACCCACGCCTAAATCAGGCCCCCCTTGAGAACATTGACTTCCAGCTGCTGTTTACGATGGGCCCTTGTTTTCTCCCATGTTCCATGTGACCTGAGTTGTGGGTGTTGCCAGAATAGTGGGACATTTTCATTTTTACTCCCAGCCTGCTATCGTTGAATTTTTTCACTTGTAGCCAAGGACCTTTCATCCAAATCCAGCCTCTTGTTCTCCCTCCTGGTGCATGTGACCTGAGTTGTGGGTGGTGCCTCTAAAACATATGATCTGGGAGTCTCAGTATAAGCACCACTTTAGAAGTGAGTGTATTAGGGCAGGGCAGGTGGATGGCACAGGTGAAGAATAATTCCTTGACATTTATTGACCAAACCTGGCTTGTTGATAGGGAATTTCTTCATAACTAACTAGTGTGGAAAACTCAGGATTGAATAAACTTTCAAGATGAGTATGATTGAAAGGGAATTGTGACTCTCAACAATGGCCACACACACACACCGAGAGGTCTGACTGGAGATTTTATTCAGGGAGAGGGAGCAGAGATGGAGAAGGGGCAGAAGAAGAATAAGAGAACAAAGAAAGGAAGGTCCTTTTATTGGTTTTGGGCTGGGCTATTGTTTATTCATGAGGAGTGGGATACTTTTAACTTATCACAGGCCAGGTTGTCTTTTATGGGTTCAGTCCTGCAGAAACAGGTTTCAACTTCTCTGTCTCACTGTGGCCTTGGTGGGAGGGAAACTAAAGATAAGAGCATGAAGTCATTCTAAGAGCCAAGAAGCACCAGGAAAATGCAGCCTGTGATGGCAGTGTCACAGCATACGTTAACATGATCAATTCCCTAACAATGATATGCAGCCAAACTTGGAATGAACTAAATTATATAAATATCTATCTGAAAAAAAAAATTCTCATATGTCAGTGAGCATTAGATGTGACTGGTAGTGTAGGGCTTGTTCAAATGCAGATTTCTAGGCCCGTTCCATTAGTTCTTCTGATCTAGTAGTTTTGGAGTAAGGCTCAGAAATCTGAATTTTTTTGTTGTTGTTGGTACTGGGGATCGAACTTAGGGCCTTGTACTTGCAAGGCAGGTGGCAGTACTACTGAGCTAAGTCCCTGGCCCAGAAATCTGAATTTTTAACCAGTGCCTCCAAGTAATTTAGGCAGATGGGGAAGTGACTGTTCCCATTGCAAACACTCCTCAGTGGCACAACCCAAAAGCTCTACAAAGAAAGAGGGAATTTTGCCTAAACTATTATGAGTTTCTGTCTCTTGCATATTAAAATGTCATCTCTTACATCCCTTTTAGATATTATTGGAATGTTTTTTCAATCTTGTGCTAATAAAAAGTGTTGCTATATAAAAGCATTTTATTTTTAATCACCATTTTATTTGGATCACCATTTTATTGAAGCAATCTAGTGCTTCAACTCAAAGTACTCCAGAGTGAGTAGTTTAAGTCAACGTGTTATCTCACTTTATCTGTGAACCAGGAATTTCAGCCTTGTTTACTCCGCTGTCTCAACCTCAGGGTCTCTTGAGACATACACCATGGCTTGTGGTCTCAGCTGAAGGCTAAACTGTGGGTGGGAGGATCTGTTTTCCAACTACTTTTACATTGTTGCTAGAAGAATTCAGTTTCTTTCTTTTAGACAGAGACATCATCTTGTTACCATGTGGGCCTCTCCATACGGTAGCACACAGCTCACACATGGCAGTTGGCTTCCTTCAGAGTGAATGAGGAGGAGGGGGGAAGGCAGAAGTCATACTACTATTGGAAGTGAAAACCCTTTACTCTAGCCATATTCTGTTAGGAGCAAGTCACTAGGTCGGACTCACAGTCAAGGGGATGGGATCACACAAAGACTTGAATACCAGGAGGATCACTGACAATCATTTCAGTGGCAGCTGCCACAAATCTCATATTTTAAAGTATATGTCAATTAAATCTTTAATATTCTTTAAACGTTGGTCTTATTTGAGTGATGCTTGCTGTTTAAAGTATGTAAAACAAACAAGATTTGTTGAAAAATGCATTTAAATATAATATTATAGTTCTTTAGTTTGAATACTGAATGCATATTGAAATGTCAAAAGTAATTTTAGTGTATGTTATAGTATCAAAATAGACAAAATAGACATTTTCATATAATATTTCAGATTCTTGCATTTTACACTATAAAAATAAATTCACTTATTTACAGTTTCAGTGTTTCTAAATGATGACTTAGAAGAGAATGCTGCCATTTTACTAATTTCTGTCCAAAGAGTATAACAAGTATGTTTTTTCCCAGTAAATGTGGAGACAAAGTGAATATAATTGTGGTCAGACTTTCAATTTTACCAATGATTATTAAGATCTGAGAGGTAACATGCAGACAGTATAGGTTTGTTTGCTTATTTTACATCAGATTGTTGTCCCTTGAGAATCTGGTAATGAGCAGCGTCAGACAGAGTATTAGTTTTCTAGGGCTGCCATAAGAAAGCATAACAAACTGCACAGCCTAAACAACAGACTTGCATTTTCTCAGAATTCTGGAAACTAGAAGTCCATGATCAAGAGGCTGGCAGGGTTAGTTTCTTCTGAGGACACTCTCTTATAAATGGTTATTTATGCCCTGTGTCTTCACATGATCATCACTTTGTTTTCCTCTGTGTCCAAGTTTCCACCTCTTATAAGGGATACAAGTCAGTCAGGAGAGCCCACCCTAATGATCTCATTTTAATCAACTACCTAATTCCTATCACGAAACACAGACACATTCTGAAGTGCTGGGAGTTAGGACTTCTGGGA